AGAAGATGGAGGAAAGGGGGCATGAAGATGAGAATAACGAGAGGACTGAACTAGTAGAGTGAATAGAACAAACAAGGCATAACCCCTTCCTCTTCACTCCTTTAATTACGTAATGCCATATTTTGCCATCGAATCATATCACGAGACACCTTGGCACCACGCACTTCATGATTCCTCCTTTTTTCTCCTTCTAGAGTAAAAAAGGAACCTCAAATGCAACAGGAGATTGGTGTGCGCTCACTATTGTCTTTTCTTGCCTTCGCCGTGTTAGCGAACAGCCAGTGGATCACCTCTTAACCCATTTTGCAACACATTTTCGTGCATGATTGCCGACTCCAACAATTATATGCCGGTATAAACATTTAATTGTCCATCTATGTATTTGTTTAGTTATACAATTACGTTATGTTTTATGTTTTCTAATGTTTCAAATGAGCCACCTTGTTTAACATTATTGGACAAATACGCAGTGCTGATCCTAACACGGCTCTGATAAATGAGCATTTCATGATATCCTCGTAAGAGCCCACAGAGGAAGAGATGACGTCGTCCAGCTAGGCGGTCAGGTGGATCTGGCAGGAATGGTTGAAACTCTCTTTGGAGGATGAGGTTCTGTGTTCTAAGCATCTGGTGGTTCCTGGCTCAGAAATGCAAACAGTCTTTCAGGAGTTGCACAAGCGACCCGGTCGAACCTGTACTACTTGCAGTGGCTTCAAAAGGTCCTCTACCACGTTTACAATCGCGGTCTTTGAAATGCAAATGAACACGATCTACTGATTAGTGGCTGTACTTGCTATCAGCTTACCAAGATGAGACGGGGCAATTGAGATGGAAGACTTCTCAAGGTAGATGCAATATCCGTGTCTCATTACACTGCGCTTCATATCTTGGCTAGCATATCTGTTCAGGACTGACTTAAGCACAAAATGCGCGTCGGAAACAAGTGCTCGAAGTAGGAACCACACTTGCTACTTACAAGCGTAGTTAGTAGATGTTTAAAATCCCGGTTCGATTTATATTACTGTGATTGAACTATCGGCTTGTAACGCTGCCTTACAAAAGATTATGAATGTATTATGTTTAAGAACCTGCGTTGAGTGCTCCTGTCTTACGATATTTGATCTAGCGTGTTTGCCAAACCATATAAGGTAAAATTTAAAAACAAACGCACACCTTTCGTCAAGTGCGTCTGCAACCTCCAGTGGTGAAAACCTGGCCTAAGGCACGTTATTCTTCCCTTGGTTATGGTATCCGCAATCGGAATGCAATAAGTAGCCAGATATGGCGTCAAAACTGCACAGGAAAGAGAGAATGAGGGAGAAGGAGGAGATTGAGAAAAGAACTGAGAGATAGGAGAGGCATAGGGAGATACTGTCTCACTCTCTCTTGCTGTACTCCTCGAATAATACGTCTCCAACCGATTAATATCTGTTGAGTCTTCCTTGAAGTCGCAACAAGTTAAAGTACTTTAAAAAAAAAACATAAATCACCAAGCTATGGAAGAATGTGGGAGACTAAGGGAATTGAATTCCGACCGGGTTGGAAAACAACAAAACGAAATGAAAAGTTATAATGTACAACGGCTTATTGTCATCTATTTCAGTGAGTAGTGGAACAACTACCTTAGCAAATTTGTAGAAAATGATCAAAACTGACAAGTTATCAAAAATGTGAGCCTTCTTTGAACCGCACTTTACACACACACCTATCAGACGCTTTCAGTCTGTCGAATGGAAGAATAGGAACTGGCATTATCAACGCCCCGAGCGTCACTGCAGCACAAACGTAGTGACATTGTCTCACACCTGAGCTTGTCATCACTATACTCCACCACATTGCGCCCGAAGAACTCAGCAGATACGAGTAGATATTCGTAGGTTCAAGGTGTATGTCTTCTTTAAAGAGGAATTTTGTTGAAGCGTATATGGGTGCCGATTATAGATGCTGAAGAAAAATTTATGTGGATTGAATGAACTCTCTACCACTATCTGTTCATTTTCATTTCCAGGTACGTGTACCCAGGTAGGATGATTTCAAATTCACGATTTGTTAACCCTTTCCTTCTATGCAAATCAGGTCACGTTCTACGGGAGCCGATCAAGTGCAGAACGTCTTGCACATTTGTTTCTCATTTCGTCTTCTTTAAGAGTACCTTTGCATTCATTAATTTTCTTTTAGCTCATAAAAATGCGAACATCGGGCAGTGCTATGGAGTCTTGCAGATGCAGAGTAATGCAATCTCTCCTCATCTACCATGTGAGAATCAGTTGGCTGAGGACTGCCGCCGTTGTGCTCAACATCATGGTCATAGTAAGCCATTCACATCTACCTTATTAAGAGAATGCATGCTTGTTAAATGGATGTCTCGGGTACACATCGGTTCTAGATTTGTACAGCGCTTAATCTCAAATTGGTCTTTACTTCTGTAACTTCCCTCAGGCAACTTGCTATTCCTCTTTATAACCTTAGCTAATGCCTTTTAATAAAAACGTCCAGTTGATACAGCGTAAATACAGTCCTGCCTCACAATTACTGCCAGCAATTCCTATTCGTCCTCATCATCAAAAGTCGATTTGAATGTATTTACCTTTGTATGGTGTTATTAAATTTAAAGTCCTGACCACGGGGTGGATTTTTCAGCTACAGAAGTTGTCAATATGAGAGATAAGGGAAATAAGATGATTACAGGATTCATGAAACCGCGCCAATTGCTTTTTTGACTAATAAACAAACAAAATAGCCTGTCTATCTCCTTCACAATAATTTCCTTTAAATGGTATGACTTTCAGGCGGTGTTCATGTTGGTTGTGTAAAGCAAATCTAGTATATGTCAGTGCGTGTAGAGTTTATCACTGCCCAGTCTTACCACAGGTACTAGTATAAAATCTGCGTCATTTGTAGATTTTATTTCTGTCGACAGACAGAAATGACCAAATTTAAGTTATAATGCCCTAACTTAAGAATTTTTTTACTTAGTGACATATTTGGCAATTCTGTGTCCCAAAATTGCAGCTATAAGACGCGTTCAAGTGAAAATGCATGCAAGATGTTTTTCTGCCCTTGCGCCTAATAAAATAACCAAAAGATAATATTCTATTTTAAGCAGTATTGTTTCTTTTTAAAAACTTAAAAAAAGTGTGTTGACGCTCGAGCGTTAATGCAAAGACGAGACAAACGAATTAGTCGAAGGTGTACACATAAGTAACCACGCATGTCATGGACTTGTCATGCGCGTCAACCAACCGGTCGGAATGGTTGCTTTATACATAACAAGTGCTTGCATCTTGACAACTCTTATATACAAGGCTGCCTTTAATGTCATGGTAATACAATTTTATTCGCCTTTCATTTAAGTGTGTATTCTGGTGGTGCATCGTGGTTGGAATTGTGCTTTCGTTGGTGCTTAAGTACATAATTGGTGCGCCACAACAAAGATACGCCAACCTCTCCATTCTCGTCTTTATGACTGGCGCTCTCGGTTTAATTGTCAGCCTGTCTGCTTTTAATTGTTTCAAAAGGCGCGGAAGATGTGGTCTCATGACTGTAAGACCTGAGACATTTGACCTTACTTCTTGCTAGTATGTCATAGTGCTGTGGATCATGACCATATCTGTTCTAGTCAATGCTATCCTCCTACTTTTGGCATCGAAAAATGTAAGCTGCTTCCAAATCTCAAATATTAAGATACCACTTATAATAACTTCAGTAGACTGGCTTGTATCACCAAAATGTATGTATATTTTAGCAAAATGAACTGTATGAATGGATTGATAAGAATCTGGAAGAAGTGTTTCAAAACGGCGCTCAATCAGTTAGGGGTATGGAGGCGGTATTCTTGATAGAAAGTCAAGTACGTAGACATATTTTGAACAAAAATTGATCTTTTTTAAGTTATCCTGCTGTGGATTCAACGGAACTTCGCACTACCCTCCCGATTCAATGACTGTTGGTTGTTGTGACGGCTTAAAAATCAAGTGTACGATTGATACGGCCCACAAAAAAGTAAGTAGTTTGCACTGGTATTATAGTCCATGATTTGCAGTGTGACTTGAAATTTGCAGTTCTGTGTAGAGGTTGAAAGGAGCATTTCCCTCCTAGTAAGAAAATCCTTTTAAGCTTCCCCTCTTTTTAGGACTGTCGAGTAGCCTTTATGGAGATGGTACAAGGCCGATTTGAAGACTTCGGCATCAGCCTCCTATGTGCGGCCTTAATTATTTTTGTGGCAATCATGAATTCGTGTCTAATGCTAGCCAAAATGCGCTCTGACGAGAAGGAAATGGAAATAAATAGGTGAACAAGCAACTCTGGAGTTGACATTTAATTATCTGTCGGTGTTTCTGTAAATCCGCTTTTTCCACATAAATCGGGAAATTGTTGCACGCGGTGTGTAGAATCAAATTGGTAAAGTAAGTAAACGCAAGCGGAACTTGAAATCTAGACATTGCAATGGTAACAGGTGCCGGAAACGTCAAGATAACCGTGTTAAAGTTGGCATAGCACCTCAGTAAACTCGTCCATAGGTTCTTAATTTTTACTAACTTGCCGTTTCTTGATCGGCCCATAAGACGCATTATGCGAATCTTTGATGAAGAAGATTGGGAGGCCTCCTAATTGATACCAAGACCAAGTGTTGTTGAATTATATTTGCTTGAATAAATAAGATAATTGAGTAGTGAAAATTTGATCACCATTTACAGCTTACGCTTTGGACGCTTATCACTAGTGTTGTTTTGTTTGAATGAATGCATTACCTTGAACGCTTACTTGGATTTGGAGTAGTTTGAGTGGTCCTCATCTCTCAGTTGAGACCCGTTCAAACACACGGGCCCAAAAATAAGTGGCATACTTCAAAAATGTCGTAAAAATAGAAAATGATTAGGTCTACTAGAACGGAGGAGTTCATAAACTCTGAATACTTTTACATGTAATACGGTTTGTCACGGCGATACATGAAAATGAAATGCTGGCATTATTGACTCGCTGGCGGTGGAACTTCAGAATCACTCATCCCCTTCTGAGGCTGGGAAGAGCATATGGCCTGAGAGACTGCTATAGAGATAGCCGTGAAGATGGTATGCCTCCTTGCTGCATTGGAGCCAGAGTTTGTCACCACGTTTTAGTTGGAGAATGGCCCGGTTAGTTGTGCTTGCCCAGGGCTTGCTCTCACACCAGACCGACAACACCTTCTGTCCATTCAGCATTAGCCACGCACTTGCCTAAAGGAGAGCTGGGTCTAATCATCGAGGTTGTCACTGTGGCTTGAAGTTTGTATCTAAGACATTTTCTTGCTCCATTTCGCTACTAAAATGTATGTTTTTTGGAAAACGTCTTTGAGGCAAGAAGGAAATTTCTTATTTAATCCGGAGCTCAACATGTGGCTCTTTTATAGTAGGCGCTTCAGTAAACCCTACTGATTTGAGAAGGGAAAACCCCGTTGAATAGGGCTATGTGATTTACCGTCATCGTACCTTCTCATAGCTGCGGGCTGACACCACCAGTAGAAAGCTATACACACCGCTAATTTTGGTGGTGAAGATGCCGTTAGTGGCATTGTAGAAGCCACCCACATTGAGAATGACCGAATCGAAGATGAGAGGACAATTATCTCCAGCAGGAATTTGGTCAATATTCTGGGATAGGCCAATGTAGAAGGCGATCTGTGGTGGGCGCGAAGACTGGGGCACTATTGGTGGCGCTTTTGCGGGAGGACCGGGAGGGCCTGTGGTACAGAGGGAGGGAGGAGTGTGTGGGAGAAAAAATTACGCTGTCGCTGTTAATCCACCTTATTTATGTCTACTCTATCCTACCCTTATGATACACCTAAGCGGAGACCAAATAGTTCCCACTGTTTTTGTTGTCTCAATAAATTATTTTGTCATTGGGGTTAAGCCATTCTCTAGGACTACTTTTAAATCACATTTATGAACGTGTGATGTCCACCTTTGAGTGATCCATCAAGTCAATCCTCCTATCCAGTTGGTTGTGGACGGTACGATGTTCGGCCACCTCTTATCAAACCCTCTCCAAGTGCTTCAGATAATGTCTCAAGTTCCTTGAACATTCTTTGACGTCATGTCCTCTTTTAGTTTCTTCTGATTGATCAATATTGCTACGGGATCAAGGCAAATCAAACAGCTAAATTGTGCTAGAATGAAATTAACCTGTACCTCCACTTGCCTCCATTAAGTTTGACGTCCGCTTGATCACACCGCTCTGCAAATGAAGACGTCTCACATAAACACCAGATAATGACAGCTCTATAATAACTTTGAAACTATATTAGCTAATGTCCTGATATGATCTAAGGTTTCTTCCTGCCAGTGGTCTAGGTCCCATCGAACTTCCGATCAGGTTTCCTCATTGAACAACGCACGGGCAAAACGTTAGCGTGTAATCCTAACCCCAAGATAATGGAGACAGGCGGAGTTTGAGGCTAAGTCCCTCGGTCGTCTTACCATCGCGTGTTTGCGGTCATCAACTAACTTTGGACTTGGGTTGATTATTATTGTCCTACAACGATCTCAGCCAATCAGGAATGACTTTAAAAGGGCATGTCTTTTCTAAGACGTTTGGGAAATTAGGCGGGAAGACGAAAAAGGATCTTATAGTCATGCGCCTCCAGCACCTCTGTTTCAACATTGAAGAAATTGAGTCGACTGAAATTCGTAAAGCGGGTTCCTCAAATTTGTGAGGTTTGGGGCTAGAAGTAAGAGGAATATTTGTAGGCGATTTCAAACGTCCCTGTCTCCACTCGGAATGGGAGTGTGTTCCACCTTCTTAATTTCCACATGTCACGCAAACCTGGAGGGAGTGCTTAGTATGTGCAGGCTAAATTGTGCGGAGGAGGGGCAGGAGGGGTAGGGAGGTGAGGGAGGGGAAAAAAGGCTGCTTTCTGCCAGTAGCAGAGTTGTGGTGGCTTGTAAGAACAACCTCGAGAATCAGATAAATGGTCCTGTTGCGTGTCATGCATGCAGTGCTCTGTGTGGATAGCTCCCGTGAAATAGTCTAGTGGATACAAATTTTGAGCCAACAAATCGGTTAAATTGTTAAATCAAATGAAGAAAGTGGAGTTTGAGGTTAAATAAGCATATCTTAAGGGATGAAATCCTCATCGTTACACATGTGTGACGTTCATATTTAACTACCTCATGTTGCCGTCGTTTGCCTCCGATCACTTCGATGACTACATATCCAACTGTGTATAAGCACTTGAAAAATCTCCCCTAATTTGCAAATACGTAGATCAAATACCTTTGAGTTAATCCCTCGCCTAGAGCCTCCTCTAGATTGGTGTGGGACTCTCCTCTTGCTAGATATATTACCAACTTTTCAGGTTCATTTTACGCTGAAGACGAAACCGTTTCCAAATTTACATAAATTGAAAGGCCTCTACATGGTCTTTAACAGAGAAGCTGGCTACGATAAAGTGGCCGAATTTTAACCATTCCTTTAATTGTGGGAAAAAAGCTGTGGAACTTACCAGGAGGACCCATGAGACCTTGAAGACCTCGAGGGCCCCTGTCTCCTTTGGGTCCGGGAGGACCTTGAGCAGAGCGGATGGGAACACGCACTTTCTCCACTCCTTGCGCAGTCTTGCCGGTGCATTCGAGCTGAAAGTAGCATGCAGGACTGGATGACTTGTCCACTTGGAAGACTAGATCATTGGCTTCCAGAATGGTGAGGGTTATTAAACCAAGGTAAAAAGGAGCAGCGAATCTGATCATTGGCAAATTGTTTTAGGTTGATGCAGCTTTTGATAAAAATGATCGTAAGATTTTGCGCCAATGGGAGCTATGGAACCGAGCAACCAATCACAGGCGCGCATTTAATGGGTTTCTTATGGGGTTGTAAATTTCAACTAAAAAATTTTGAAATAAATTGATGAATAAAAAATTGCAAAAACTACCTAGACAAAAAGATTCTATCGTGATATGGTAATTGCTTAACTGCACGCATTATTTTGCGGGGTTTTTTTTAGTCTTGCCAAATTATTCTCCTGTCCTGTCAACAATGGCCATTTTAGCCATGCCTACAGTCTCCTCTTGGTCACCATATAGCTCTCATTGTGAGACTTATTGTGCGTCGACCATGAAGAGGAGGAACTAGAGGAGGGAAAATGGGACCATCGTTGAGGTCTAGAGACGGAAAATGAAGGCCGAATGAGGACGAAGGGGAAGTTTTGATTGGGTGTGTTTGGCATGAATTCCTCGGTAGGAGTGCAATGGCGGAGCACCAAAATTAACATTTAAACAAACAACCAACGTATTGCATAGCCCCTCTCCTCCCAGGTGGACCCCCTGGTCAACCTCCCGTGTCAGCCATCATAACGTAGTCGGTGCTGCAGGAAAGATGTTCACGAGCCGACCGTTCTAGTCATCAAACTTGCTTGCTATTGAGAAGATACTTGACTACAACATCACTAATTCTTCTCGTCACTTCCACAGGATCTAAGTTTTGACCTCTATTGGTATTGTACCGGGCGACGGAGAATGTGCTGGCCATCACTGGCCTAAAAGCAACTACTTCGAGATTCCTATATGTGGGAGCGGTAAGATTACCTTAGCAAAGATATCCCATTTCCAAATCTCAGAGAAATGACTTCTGCTGTGGGAGGCGAACTTTGCAGTTTAATCTCGGAGAATTGCTAGACGGTAAACAACAACCGAGGCTACACCAAAAACTGTCTATTATGTATGACTAGCCCCTGGAAATGCACTAGCCTTGGTGTCCTGTATAACCATAACCAGTAAGGAGAAAGTGATTCTTCCTCTCCCAAAAAGGACGAAATTTTTAAATAAAATTGACTCATGTTGATGCAACAATGGCACCGTGATCAAATGCCTTCTCACCTGCGTAAAAAATTTGATGACTGACATTCCTGGCTCATGGGTAGTTTGCAAACCACAGACAACATCGTAGTGACTCAAGCAGAAAAATGAGCTAGGCAGTCTTCGAAGACAGCGGTCAAGGGATGAAAACCTTTGCAGTGATGTGCCATTTGTTTAACTGCATACCACGGTTTTTATTCGCGTCCCTCTGGCTGTGTCCGCCTGTGGCCCCGCGCTGTAGAACGTGAAAATCGCAGTGACGTGATGCGGACTGTTGAGGGTACGAATTTTTAAAGTCTTAAATGAAAGTAATGAATGGATGATTCAATAAATATTTGATGAAAAATTAAGCGAAATATTAAATAATACTTAAGTGTTCTTACTGCTGCCATGGAGAATGGATAGCAACCAGCCGTACTGCGGTCTACGGTATGATGTACATCCAGTGGCTAATCTGATTGCTAATGAAGACGAGTAAGGCCATAACTTCAAATAATGCTTTAACAGTTTGAAAAGTGAATAACGCCTTTTCAGAGATATGATTGTATTTCCTTGTTTTATCGTTTAATCCTGCATTTGACTAGGCGGCCACTTAAGCCTTTGCGGCCTGTACTTCCACTCGGCGCCACGTCCTCCATGCCATGTCACAAGTTACAACGCGTTGGTTGTTTAACTCGCATTTTTGAGTCCTCACTTTTACAGCTTCAGCGGGTGGGCTGGCCTCCGATCCATGCCAGTATCCCCAGTCCCCTCTGTATGTCTTCTTTCCTCTTCAGGGAAGTCTCGGGGCGTTACATTGATAGCAGAGTAAAGCTAACCCGATCTTAAACGATATCTTACCTGATTTCTACTACTGGATAGTAAAACTTGGTGTGACAGGAGAATTCTTTATGCTGTGAATCGGAGAATACATTACCACCCCTAGCAGAAGGTCTGAAAACGACGTCTACCAACGGCGACTACCCCATTCCTGTGCTTTGCAGGAAAGCTACCGACAAATTAAATTGTCACAGGCTGTGAACCATGTGAAAAAAATTTGTTACAGAGGTCTCTACCTTGTCTGTATGAAGATGTTAATTATATGAGCGCGCGATACCTCCTCTATTTCTCTACTACCTAGATAGAGCTCGGTTTGGTACTACTGGGCGACTCTGAAGTTCCAACAACGTGGCAAGGAGGAATAGGTGCGAACTCTTCCCCCACAGAAATGTGTTAAACTCCGTCCTCTGTCATTTGACTTGTTGCTTTTAGGCCAGTGATGGCCAGCACATTCTCCGTCGCCCGGTACAATACCAATAGAGGTCAAAACTTAGATCCTGTGGAAGTGACAAGAAGAATTAGTGATGTTGTAGTCAAATATCTTCTCAATAGCAAGCAAGTTTGATGACTAGAACGGTCGGCTCGTGAACATCTTTCCTGCAGCACCAACTACGTTATGATGGCTGACACGGGAGGTTCACCAGGGGGTCCACCTGGGAGGAGAGGGGCTATGCAATACGTTGGTTGTTTGTTTAAATGTTAATTTTGATGCTCCGCCATTGCACTCCTACCGAGGAATTCATGCCAAACACACCCAATCAAAACTTCCCCTTCGTCCTCATTCGGCCTTCATTTTCCGTCTCTAGACCTCAACGATGGTCCCATCTTCCCTCCTCTAGTTCCTCCTCTTCATGGTCGACGCACAATAAGTCTCACAATGAGAGCTATATGGTGACCAAGAGGAGTCGTAATAGTGATGATCATGTGTAATAACAGAGATGATTATAAGAGCACCCCCTCCAACATTCTGCACATCCGTTTCAATCGAGATCACCACGATGAAGGGCCAGGAACGACGGTGGAGGAGGGCTTGTAGATGGCCGACTATATATCCGAACACGATGAGGGTGGAGCTAATGACAATAATGAGAGAATGGGGACCATGGGATGGAGGATAGAGAAATCGGTGAAGAACAGGTAGATGCAAGATTTCGGTTGCGCCCCCGAGGCGGCCGATCTGCCCAGATGAGGCAAAAGTGGCCTAAAAGGTGACCTCTCGTGATGGGGACGAAAAGGCAGAGGCGATTTGCGGTGATTGGACTGTAGGGTACCGCACTGATGTCGTTAGCGGTGAAAAAATCCGGTGAAGGTAGGAGGAGCAGGGGCAGCATGCCTATGTGGAAGACCACTCCTTTAAATGGAGTTTATTGAAGCAAAAGAGGAATGTAAATGGAAGTTTGATATAAATCCTGCTCTATTATTTTCATGGGTGGGGACTGATACATGTAAACTGCTAGGCCAACCAATGGTCCAATTTCGAAAAGCGAGGAAATTCAACAAAATGTACTCAACTGGCGGACTGTTTTGCAACTCTTACCAAGGACTTTTATTTAATCAAATTTGATCTAGCACAACACAGATTACGAATTTACGTTCAATCAGTGCATTTGTGCTGTGAAATGCTTTTGACGCAAAAAGGGCGACTCGATGCGTTGAAGTATCATTCCAAACATCAGTGACACATCCAACATCGCATATATTTCGCTTGATGAACAAAACTTCGCCACACTAAGAAGTTACAGCGGCATGAAATCACTTTGTCGCCGTTAGATCACAATGAAATCTCGTAACTTCTCGAGTGATACCGGTTGCTTAAAAAACAAGTTTCATTCAATGTGAGACAATCTGTTTGAGTTATTCCAAACAAAACAGGAAAACAAGGAGCTAGACACGGGTGTACTGGTCGTAAGCCCTGTACAGAAGTCTTGTCCGTCAAAATAAGATTTGTCCTTTATTAGGCGTGGGGGTGACTCTGAAGTATTCACAATCCCCGTATTCTTTAGATCTATTGTAGCTTTCCGAGACTCCCTGAAGACGAAAGAAGACACGATACTCGTGCAGAATATGTATTTAGCGCAGAGAAGGTGTCCGGTCTATTGGCATGGCCCAAAAGGCCAATCCACTCAGCCAGGTACAAGGGGGCTAATTCAAGGTACAAAAGTGGCGCCTCACCAACACCGAGGGATAAACCACTATCATATTACACTATATTCCCATAAATACCGACCTTCCCTTTTTAGGCATTAAAATGAGCACTTGAATACAGTTCCCTTGCAGGGCGAAACTGCAGACGTAGTAAAATTGTCAAGCTGGATCAGTGGCGCTGTGGTCAAGACCCGTCTCACTCGCATCAAAATTCGATCACTGGCACGGCTGTTTCCTAAACTACTCCTTACAGCGGCGATTAGGCTGCAATAGCCGACGCGGGAGGATGACAAATGGGAGCAACGTGGACGGCGCTCACAAAAAGGGAGGTGCCACGTAATACATTGGCTGTTCGTTAAATTCCTAGTTTTAGTGAAAAGGATCAATCCTGGTCTCCACTACTGCACCTTTGCAGGATAAGCTGACCTCCCAACAATACCCGTAGCATCAAGGCCTACTGAATGCCGTATATATAAATTCCTACTGATAATTGTCTTCTACCGCGTGCGAGGGAGTCTTGGGCCACTACAGTGACTATTTATACTTGCGCAAACAATTGTGGTGTCCTGAGACTTCCCTGAAGACGAAAGAAGACACAATACTCGGGTGGAGTATATCTATTCTGCATAGTGAAGGTGTTTGGGCTGATAGCATGGCCTGAAGGCCGGCCCGCCCAGCTTGGTACAAAAAGGCCAAATCAAAAGTCCAAAAGCAACGTCTCATTAATACCGAGGGCTAAACCACCATCGTATTACATAATAAAGTTACACGATTCTAATCAAAATGACAAACTTCGTTTGGGGATAAACACGCAAAATTTGGTCTAAAGGTTCTGAATGAATGCATCGACGTAAAAGATTTCAGTAATAAAAATTACTCAATCTCAACTTGGAGTTTATTTTATCGAAATCAAATCGCAAATTCGTTTGATTGTTTAATTGCAATCGAAAAACAATGCTAAAAGTTCAGTGCTTATACTTTCGCCTTGCGGTTACGAATTTTGCTAAAATATTTTTTTTTTCGATCAACAGTTGTGCGCTGTACTCACTATGAATACTAAAGATGTTAAAAACATTAAATTAAATTCATCCAATTATCTTCGCAGGCCAAGGTTATTATGATTTGCAATGACCTAGAATGACAAAGTTCCAAAGAATTTCATCTAAAACCGTTATTATACAACCTGGCTCTACAGTTTTACGTATCGGCCTCGCTTCGGAGGAAGAGCCAAAGATTTTTCTGCATTGTATTGCTCGCAAATCCAAGGACGCCCGTCCCGGTCGGATTCCGTCGTTAAGCTCGCATACTTTCACTCCACTTGATATCGATGTGTCAAATTGCTTCGGCTCATTTGCCCACTCTGATTCTCTTGTTACTGAAAATAACTTTCACAAGATACTTAACTCAGATATTGCTCACTCTGATCAGCCCTTGGATGATTCGAAGCCTGCGTTTATCCCATTTCTCAAAGGTCTCAGAAAGTGCGTTAATGGTGGTTATCAATTGCAGTGGCCGATCGTGTCTGGTTGTTTTAATGAAGCATTTACACCGTCTCTTAATTTGCAGAACTTGGAGGATATGTGGACTTATGCATTAGAGAAATATGTATGTTTTGGTACTTTTCCTCAAGGACGAGTCCTAGATCGATCGTCTAGTCTTTACACCTAAATACCACTTTACTTAAGTGCTCCATTGTATTTCCAAAATTTTATAGTATTTTCAGCCTAATTCGAACAAGATAGGAGCGTTTTCAGCAGCCATCATTTGTGAGCGTAGGTGTTTGCTGTTTGTTAAAGCCAAGTTGAGTCTCGATTTCTTCACTTTGAAATACTAAATTTCTCGCATACTTTTGCGTCCTTTTAAACAGCCAGAAGGAAATTATTCTCTTTTGGCACGTTGAATGTAGAGGCTGTGCGAAAGCGAGAGTGTTGCTTTTTCTATCTTAGTTTGGCATCTCAAGAGACGAATTTCATCTCTACTCAGTCATTCTCGTAATCGAGGACGTCTTTATTCGTCGAGAGGTGCGGCAGATAATGAATATGCTCTTATTGGGCCTTCGCTTCTCCCGAGTCGTAGTGCAGCAGGCAAGTGTCTGTGCTACCTACGGTGTAGGACTTCCGACCGCATGCGTTATCGACTTAGGCTTTCAAAAGACCACCATTTCCTGCGTTGATGAGGGCATTTCCCTGCCTGATGTCCGCGTTAAATTGCCGATTGGTGTTTGCAATTGTCTGCAAACTCTACGTGCAGCAATATATCGCTTTACTAGAGACAGAATCGAACTCCCGGAGCTAATGCAGTACGTTTTTTATGCGAGGTAGTGATTGAAATAGGCAAAAAAGCGGTCTTAGTTATGAAGGAGAATATGTAAATTTTATCACTTTCGATGTTCTCCACTGCGCTGCGAGCTAAACCCTTGATTGTGTTCTACCATACTCTATGTTTATTATTCATAGGGAAACAGACCACGGCTCATTCGGAGACATGAGACGCCTTTTCAATGCAATGTTCGACGCTGACAGCGCGATTATTGCACAAATGCAGACTCAATCGTTGGAAGTGATAGCTTCAAAGGAGACTACAATCAAACTTGCCACCGGACAGGAAGTAGTCCTGCCCAATGTCACCTTCCTCACCGCGCATTTGGCACCCTATTTCTTCAATGCAGATGGTTTTCTTCCAGAGTACCAAATACCAGGAATCGATGCACCTGAACCGGACGATCCATTCGATGAGGTCTACAGTGTCATGACTATGCGAGAAAGGAGGCGAAAACTGCAGGGTGACTTTGTCCCCGGTCGGGGTGATGAGGGCGCTTTTGAACCCAAGAGTCAGAAGGTTTCGGTAAGCTCGACAAATTTAGTTGACTGAAATGAGACAATTTTGGGCATAAAGATTTCCAACATTTATAGCCTTTTTTTCACTGACTTCTACTTTCTTGTATCTTCTTTTGTTAAAATCGTCGTTTTGGATTTCAGGACATCCAGCTGCCTAATGGACTGTTTTTTTCTTGATTCCCCTTCCAAGAAACGAAGCAAAATTGTGAATCGCCATTTCGAAGAAGTGTCCTGCTCACATTTTCTCCATGTTTCTTTTATTAATGGATATGTTTACCTGTAGCTTTAGTGATAATGACATCTCGAGGTAGTCAGTCTACCCCCTCTTCTCCCTGTGGTCCATGTAGCCGCCACTCCCCTTGATGTGTCGTTACTCACGTCTATGGTACCCATATTTAATGGTGCAGATAAATAAATTTTGGCTTTAGGCATCCAGGAAGAATTACCAACAAAGGCCATCAAATGGCTAGGAAGCCGTCTTTATCACTCTGTGACTTCTGGTTTCCAGGAGAGGTCAATTGGACCTATTCACTTCAATACACGCTAATTAACCCTGCCACTAATGCCCTGTAAACTTTTTATTCTCGGAATCAGTAGACTTGGAGAAAATTGGGTATCTCTCCACCTTTAAATAACTGTACTAATTACCTCCTTTTTAATTCAACGAATGATGATGCGCTACGACACATGTAGACTTGGTGGCAACAAATGTGAACGCTATAGTCCATCTTTCATATTTGTCAGTTGTCAGGGTGATGATTGTCGGTAATTGGATATTACTACCTATCAATCGTGTCACAATTTTTTTTTACTTTCATCGTTAAATTCTTAACTTCGTGTCAATCGCTCAAGATCGGAAGATTGCAGTAGCTAGATGTGACCACCTCGTACTTAAAAGCTTAAGGCTTGTATGTGTATAGTCTTTCTTTTTAAGTCTACTTACAGATTCCTATTAATTGTTATGCATCCTTCAAATCATTGTCTTTGGCTATCTAGAAGGCCTCCTCGTTCAAGGACCTGGCCGAACCAGTTTTGTGGTCCATCCGACAGGCCGCTGTGGCCGCCGCCTCGACTTCGGCTGTCGATTCGGAAGCACTGGGAGTTGATAATGTGGCTGACGCCAAGGGGGATCAACTGCGTCAACGTCTATTCGGCTGTATCCTTCTTGTTGGCGGTGGGGCAACCAGTCTCGGAGGCTTTCTCCTCTCCAAGTGGCTCACTCGCGAACTGCAGAACCTCGTGGGTGATGGCACGAGTGTGGAAGTACTAACTAGACCTCAGGGTGTCTCCGACCTTGCTTGGCAAGGAGCGAAACTTATGCTTAACACGGACGCAATCTCCGACCTTTGGCTTACCCCTGCCGAATGGAATCGCTACGGCTCTCGACTACTGCGTGAGAAAGCCCCTTTCCCTTGGTAAATGGGAGGCGGTTGCTATCGTAAACTTCACCTGTATTGTACGTCTTTTCCTTTTTTAGAACATTTGTAATTTAGTAGAAACAAGATTTAACTATTATTTTTTTTTTCTTCGGAAGTTTTCTTTTACTCGAAGAGGCACCTTTTCATGATCCCTTTTTCGTTGAGGGGTGGCTATGCTTCGGTACACTTAAATTGGCATAACGTTTGGGATGCTGGACCCTCTGAAATCTCAACACCGGAGGCGAATCCTATCTCAGTTTTTTTCAGACAGCCCTTCAACGTACTGTCGATCAAATCGTTGTCATCGTCTGACAGCAAAAAGTCATTAATGAGTGCAGTGTTATTTGCGATTTTTTCAATCAAATTATCCACTTCTACGAGGTTGCATGGCACTCGTGGCCGTTGTTTCGGCAAAAGTTTTTCGGATGTTACACTCTCCTCGTCTGCACTACAAAATTGCTGGGTTAGGTATGTCTCCACGCCTCTTTGTTCAAGGTAATCGGTTTGCAGAGTCTCGTCCGAGACAATATTGGTGCCAGTCAGAGGAGAGAGGAATGTACGTGCATCTGTTACTATGGGAGATGCCTCTCCAAACGAAAGGGTTGAAAAGACAAGACGCGGGGTTGCTGGATTCTCCTCCACTACAGGCGCGACAGTCATGTCATCTGGCGTAGTCTCCATCAGTACTGTCGGAGTTGGTTCCATTTCTTCGGGTTCTTCTTTTTCTTCATGATGCAAAGTTGGTTCTTTTAAGGTGCCTGCAAACTGATTCACCACACATGTTCGAATAAGTGTGGATGTTGTCATTGATGTAGACGCCTTGGGGCTGGGTTCCAAATCAGTTGTTAGGGTTACTAGAGGATTTATTTCGCTTAGGCTATGCTGCGCTTCAACAGGAAGCGGTTCTATTAATGCAAACTTTTCTTTTGCTTCCTTCATGCACATCAAACAACGACTAGGTTCTGCCGAGTTCGCGTAAATGTTATGAGGATTATTTCTTACCTTATTTACTCTAGATTGTAAGTAGTCACTTGAAATAAAGGATTTTAAGTTATATAACAAAACTTGGAGAGCTTTTTTTGTTGGGGATTTCAAATTTTGTGAAGTCTTGGGACTACCAGATCGCCTTTGTTTAAATTGCTCCAAATCTCCCTCCTCGGTGACAACTCTCTGCTCGAAGGTGGTTAGACCGGAATGCAGGAGAAATTGAATTGACTGTTGCATCTCAGCGATGGGGGTTGTCATTAAGTCAAGGCCACAACCAACGCTGTATATCATCTCAGAAATTAGTCTGGTAGTGTATGAAAGAGTCAGTGGTTTGGCCTTCTCTTGAAGTATTTCGTGTATCTTAAACATATAAGCTAGCGTAATCAAGCGATCCTTCAGTGCCACCGACATGGTGTCCCAATTCTCTGTTATGTCAGTAAAGGAGTAATGATAGAGCCAAGCGCTCTCCAGGCGTTTGGATAACTTATAGAAGCCCTTGTGACGGATTAGCTGATCCAATGATTGCAGTAACGGTAAAGCGAGACGATTCCCGCCGGCCTCCAAAAGGAGGTACTTTGCAAGACGTTGAAATAGAGAGCATCGTTGACCCCCGTGCTTGGTGCACAATAATTGGGCAGAATTAGCACTACAGTAGCCAGGACACCGATAGACCAGCATCTCAAATACCCTAGTTGTTGGAAGTAGACGTTTTTTACGCACCACACTAATAGTGTAATCAAGGATGTCTTTGAATTTGTTACACTTCTCGACCCACTTGTTAGCATACCGTAGAGTGAATGAATCAGAGGCTTTCAATGTTTGCGTATTGCTACTGAATAAGACTGGAAGAGCCTCCAGAATATTACGTCTAGCCGCGATAGTCATCGGCCGAATTTCGCGCAATTCAACCTCGTCATCATCCTCCAACCGTCCGTTGATATCTGTTGCATAGCTCACTTCACCATTATCGACAAGTTGGTTGTCAATGAGCAGTTTAATTACGTCCAACCTCCTCATGTAGACGGCCAATGAAAGTGGACGTAGGTAGAGTACAGTGGACCTCTTGTACATGGCCTCACAATCACTGTTGTCACAAGTGATCTTCTCCGGTGTGTCGGGGATTTGAAAGATGTGTTGAAAGATATCGGGATGCTCTCGACTCATCGCAGTTAAGCGGTTGTTTGCTCGACTACGAAAAGTGTTGATCATCCATTTGGTGTAAGGATGATCCCATGGTGTGTAAGGAGGGACAGAAAATTTGGTGTGGCTAAAAATGGGAGGCGACGGGAGAGTAATACGTAGGTTCATTTACACCACGACGAAGGTGACCATGTGCTGCTGCCCAATGTTCCTCACATACCGCGCCAAATTTAAAGTAAAGCGATCGATAGAAAAGGGGAAAAAGATCGTGCGTGCCCATCCCTACGCCCTTTGACGTGCGGTGTCATAATGCAATCATGAAAGCGGAAATTACCTAGCTATTATCAGAAATGTCGAAGTAGACATTAGGTGAGTTCTGTTGGCGAGATGTCATGGGTGAATAATGGCACCACTCGGTCGCCAGGTTCCTTTAACCTTCATTCAACTGAGGGTAAACTTTGCTCTCCCAATTTACTTCCAACGCATTGATCAACAATCGCTAAAACACCCACTCACTTTTGACTGCAAAATCCCTAAAACGCATCAAAACTTCATTTCACACAAATTGCGTCTTGAGCTGGCATTGACGGTAAATTCAGACATGCGATACCTTTGAAGAAATCCTGAGTCTCAAGGAATTGATCTGACCTATTGACATTTTGATTAATTCAACACAAGGTCATGTCAATGACCTCGAAAAAGAACCCCAACTTGTGGCAAGCGCACTCAAATAGTCATGTCACGGATGAGCACAAAAGAAATAAAACCAATAAGAAAGAGGTAAAGGTTTTAGTGAGGAAAACCAGCAAGGAGAGGAGAAAGAGCAAAGGGTTGAGTTTTGCCGAAGATAGGTAAAATGAATTAGCCAGTCAGGAGAGGGAATGGGTGGGTAGGGGAGGAGAAGTAAAGAGCGGAGGTGGTAACCAGTGTCGTTAGCCGATCGAATCCCCAAGGAACTCCATCACCACCTTGACGGAGATTGCAAAGATGCCAAAAAGGATAAAAACAGCTACAAAAGGTAGCTGGCCGCCTCTACCACCGCCAGTCCCACGCTGGGCATTAATGGAGTTTTCCACATCCATGACCCCAGGAATGCCACTTCGGGAGGAGGACAGGGAGGAATTAGCACTGGCCTGAGCAAGCAATTGCTTCGCTTTTATCTCCTATGGGTTATAATAAAAAGAGGTGATTCCTTTTTGAAGACGAACATTATACCAGCTCCAGGTTCGTGTCCACCTTAAAAAATACAAATCAACAGATTCAAGGCCGACACTCGAAACAGCGACATATTGTGCCTGAAGTCATGAGGTGAGTACTTTGTGTTTAAAAGATGAAACTTTGTGTAGAGAAAGAGAAAG